ATTAATGCTGACATTACTGCTTGGTGGCAAAAATAGGTAAGGTGGCAGTACTGCCCTGGACGAACTTCTTCACAAAGAGCTCTACTGCGACTATATTATCAATTAGAATTTATATCGTAGGTTTTTTGATATATTTTTTATGAATTAAATAAATACGTATGTACTGAGTGTTTACTTTTTATTTATTTTACTAAAAGCCGTACGTAAATCATTATAAAAAAAACCACAATAGACATTTGAGAAGGGTTCTTTTTGTTTTTCAAATTTGTAACGCACTGTATCAGTACTTACCACGTGTACTAGTTACTGTATCTTTTCGAATTTCGTGTACTAGGTACCTGTATGTGTATAACTACGAAGAGTTTGTGTAAAGTTTCGTCGCAGCCACATAATATACCAATGTGGCTGTACCTATTTGTCGCTTCGCGGTCGCATCCAATGCTTAGATTAAATTTAGAATTTTTGTACGACTGTTACGTCGCCATTGCGTAGTATATCTGACAAACAAACCACTATGACCTAACATTGTGCTTTCTTATTTCGGTAGGTACGGAATAATAAAAATTAACAAAACATTCTAAATTACAATTTATTTATACAAGAAATTATTTTATTTTCTCTTTATTGTTTTAAACATTCTGGAGAATGAGAAGTACTGCCACCTGACCTATTTCTGCCGCCAATCAGTAATGTCAGCATTACTGTGTTCCGGTTTGGTGGGTAAGGGTGCAGGTGAAATTACAGGCACATGGGACTTGTCAATATAAATCTCCGGGTGACGGGCGCAGTGGCAGTACCCCTCAGATCTTTGCGACTTAAAGCTCTGAGTGGCACTGCAACTGTTATGAACAGGCGTATAGCTTATACCATCAGGCACACGACTTGTTCATCCCGTCACTTAGGGTCGCGTCACTTTCAAGCACTAGAAATCATACTCAAGACCTGACTTGAGCATTGAGTAGAGTTGTGGAATACGGCCCTTAATGTTACTATTTTTTTAAATTTGACTTACGTACTACAATCGTATCCTTGGTATAATACGCCACATGTGATCATGTGGCTTATTATACCGATGATACGATTTTGTCTGGATGTTAGATTAATAGCTAGATCAGTTATTGGTGTTAAAAGTGTGCTATAGATGCTGAACTACATACCCCTTACAGCACAGAATGATACGATCGTGCGTTAAACTTTGAAAAAATTTGGGTATAAAAGTATTCAACTTTACCGCGTCGGATCAACACCGATCGTTTGTGCGTTCGATCAACATTCGCTGTTAAAGCAGTGCGGCCGTGTTCTAGGGTTACACACCGGTGCCGAGAGCGACAAGTGAGGCACACGCCGCATGGAACGTCAGGTCGAAAAGCAAGATTTTTAAAAATTTCATCATTTCGTGTTTTATGACCTAATGGTGTATTTTCTTATTAGGTACATATTATATTTTACATAAAAAATAGTTAAGCAGTGAATTGAAAATTTGGTTTTTATTCAGGTATAAAGTCATAAAACACGATCGTGCTTCCACCTGACGGATGGAAATGACTAAATTAGCTTTTTTTTTTTTACTTATTTTTTTTTGTTTTTAGTGACGTTAACATGCGATTTGGTTGCACAAATCATCGGAATCGTCGACAAATCGGAGTTAGGTGAATCTGACCTTGAACATTGAGAACAGAAGACAGAAAGTGATAGTGACTCTTCACTGTCACGTGGATATAAAGTGATAGTGACTCTTCACTGTGTAGCTCCTCTATCAACTCAGAAGAAATCTAATTAAACCTGGATTTAATGCTCTCATATCGTCTCCGAGCAGTCGTCGTGGTAGTAAACGCAGTTGTGGTAGGAGGTTGACTATTCGCTACCGTATATCTAATCAAGTCGTATCTGTATCCAGAAAGTCGATCAGCAGAAACTCTCACCAGCCCAGACCAACCCCATATCCTTCTACGTTAATTTTGATTATAGTGACCCTCCCTACCGCCCCTGAGGGTACGAGAAGGGCACTATAACCTATGTGCGTACAGGAACTTTCTAAGTTCAGGTTCTGACCCCAGATCAGCCAGCATACAGGGTTGTTACAGACCTCTGTCACTTGACTTCCGGTTCTTCGAGAGGCTAGTGCCTCGGGTGAGCCGCCCCGGGTGCACGTACAGTGCCCTTCCTATTTTCCAGATAGGTACAGGAGCTGTAGGCACGCTCACTTCCCGTTGCGCTTTGCACATCTAGCGGTTGCCGCCGCTAAGCCGTCGACTCAGAGTCCACTACCAAATGTCCTCATTGGTGGTGGAGCTTCACTTCCCTACGCCGAAAAACGACGTCTCTCCAGTTCCCAATAACATAAGCTGCTGGAGGAACCGAAGGATATCTAGCTTATCCTTTACTAGCTCTCCGGGCTTACTAGTGCCGGAGATGCCAGTCCTGCGACAATGTCCGGACATAGCTTCCAACTTAAAGGGCAATTCACATGCCCCGCGCGTCTCCTCGCTTCAGGCTTCAGACCAGTCGTTTTTCAGAGGAATCCGAATTCTCCACAGTTACTTCAATCATCCAGTCTTGGTGTACCTTCTAACAGTATCCGTTCAAGTACCCGTGATGCTCATCAAAGTCGTGGTCGATCATCATCTATTCGAAGCCATACTTCTGTTCGAGAACGGTCACGATCAGAAAGGCAAAGTCGTTCGACTGACGCACCGTCATCACATAGATCAAGGAAGTGGAGGCAAATGTTATATGATGATGGGGATCAATTGTGGTAGGTGCCCATCTCGCCCTACGACTGGAACTTGTCACCCACCCTTTGATTATTTTGACGACGAATCGACGGAAAAGATCTCGAAAAGTTAGTATTTTGCGTTAATTAATAATTAATAATAAGTTCATATTTTGTTATATTTCATGTGAAATATGTGATAAACTTCAAGTTTCAATAATATAGATTTGATTGCTGATATTGTTGCTTTATAGGTCGCCTTTAATTCAAAATTTTTATTAAGTCATAGAAAAAAAACGCTAACGCTTTGGTAAGGCTCATGAGGGGATGCCATGATCGTGCGGGGGGGGGG